CCGGCTTTGCAGCTTCTATCTGTGTTTGCTGACCTTATCTTTGCAGTTTGCTGCCTTTGTGCTTTTGCTGTCGCTGTTGCTGTTGCTGCTTGCCGGCACAACAGGAGAAAAACACCGCGCCACGAAACACCCACAGCAAGAAACTTTGCTCCGAACGTATGTACGACAACACTACATCACGAACGGACACAAAGTGGCACCCACGCAGTGAACATACGGGGAAAGACCTTCATGCCGTACTCCCTACACGCCGCACCTTACCAAGGTACAACAATTTCATACCGAAATCCCCCTCCGTCACCAACTCGTCTATCCATGTGCAACGCGCCTTCACCCATAGAATCCAAGAACGATGGCCGACCTTGATACGACGTGTAACGGCCTCACGACCGGAAATCTAGGCGCGTTCTAACTAACCTACGACATGTACGGACGACCGTGCATCCGGCGTCACTCACCAGCAGCGGAAGACGATGTGAGCTTGACTGCGTTGATTAGAAGCGTTGACAATGGGGGCCCTTGCTTCACGCCGACGCAACATCGCACTGGGGTCTTGGAGAGTTGAAATGTGGTGTACGCAGAGATTCTCGTTGCCAGGTGGAATGCGGTCGATCTTGAAGGTCTTGGGCAACTCCAATGAGCAGTCGTCTCTGTCGCGAGGAAGGTCACGGACATCGGACGAAGTGGTCATGTCTCGCCTAACGACGTGTACTTTCCTGCCAGACCGCCAAGCTTTCAGCCTTCGTAGGCTCCTTACACAGCTAAAGCACAACTGTCGGAATTACGCTCAAACGCCGCATACGCCCATATTCTTGCAGCAGAGCGCTGCACAAACACATGCCCGTCGAAAGCCCGTCGACAAAGCCCCTTATGTTTCAAAGATCCATACACAAGCTCGAGAAGCAAGCATCTCACCTCAAAAAAATGAGTTGCCGCAAGTCGCACCTTGCCCTCACAAATGAGTCAGGCAAGTCGATGTCCGTGAAGCGGCGACGCTGTGCCTGAAGCAACGTCAGCAGGGGTTCAATAAATAAATGCTTGAGATAACCGCGTAATAAATTAGAGCAATGGAACTGAAGTGCGGCGGCTACAGCATGAAGGTTTTGCAACGAACAGTACCTTGCAAACGTTTGCAGGGTCCACAGCAGCTTCTCAGGGCGCCGCGCAGCTGTTCAGGCTTCCTCATTTGCTGGTCATATGTAGGAAGCTTGCAGCTTTTACGGACGCTTTTTTTCTGGAACAGGCCGAAAAAAAGGGCTCAAATGTTGGGTGAAAGCCTGTGATCAAATATCGGACGTTGTGCACATTTGCTAATGGAGCTGGAAGTGCTATGGGAGGTGCCTTTTGTCAGAGGCCAGCAAAATTGTACGGCGTCCGGTAAAGCTGCGCAACAGCTGCAAATCCAAGTGTGTTGGAAAGGTGCAGTTCGGCGAACTCACTTTGTCGACAGTTAGCCTATTAAACTTTTATATTATAGCTGTATGTCACTGCATTATCACGTTCACCTCCGTTCCTCTGCACCTGGTTACGTCCTCCCGGAAGCAAGATCCCTAAGTGCAAGCCCTTGCAAACAACAGGTCAAGTCATCATGAAGGCCGTTGCTTCATTTTTGCTTATGTGGCATAGCGGGCGATTGGCGTAATCTGCCCATGGCGGAAGTGCCAAGAGCTATTGATACAGCGTTATGGTGCTTGAAGTTCTTCTTGAGTATCTAAGGTGCTTTAAGTCACGTTTGCTTACAAAAGGAACTGCGGCCCGAACAAGGGCGCCATGGAACTATCATGGGGGGCTTTCCTTTGACAGGGCTAAGCCATCCGTAGCTTCTTCTTTCGAGGTCATCCATCGATGCACCATCATTGTCACCCAGCACTGCTGTGAGCAGCGAGATCGTGCGCCGCCCAGCTCCCTATCACCCTATATCCCTCCCGTTCACCCTCGCCTGTTAGCCCCTTCCCGCCACATTTCCGTTCCCTATCACTTGTTGCCACTAGGGGCACTTTTACCTTGAACCATCGGAAGGATTTTCAACCCTAACAAGTTACAAGTTCCACACTTGCGTGCGGAACCCGCACTTGCGTGCGAGTATTGATGCGGGTACACAAGTGGTGCTCGGTGCCATAACCATGCCCAAACCCAGCCTGGCTACCGGTGCGTAGCCTGTTGCCCTCACAGTAATTGATAAGTCGCCTCCCGATGATATTGCGTAATGTTTGCATAGTGGGCCCCCAACCGCAATGCCCCGATAACTGTCGCAGCAGGACGCGTCCCCCTTTTTGTATACGGGGAAAAGGGTGCTAGTCGTGAATAAGTCGTGAATAATCAGCTCGCGGATATTCAGCTCCATATATGCGGTTGCATAGCACCGTTAAGTAAGGCGCCAACACAAACACGGGCCGCTGCCCTTCACTCTCCCTGATAGCGTACCTATAATACTCGGCCGGGGTTCCCTCCAGGCCCACGGACAGGCTATGTTGCGCATAGCGTTGAGACCGCTAACAATTTCGCCCTCCGTAAAATCCTTGTTAAGCCAAGCAGCTAATTCCCGTCGGTGCATCACCCGGTCCTCATCCTGCCATTTATTCTGTATACCCTCGTTTGCAGCCTTGCCTCACGCTTCCCGCACCCTTAAGCACCTTGGAAAAATGCTCGGTAAAAGCATTAATATCTGAGATCCAGCAATCAGGCGGTTTTCCCCCACGCAGCCATGTCCACAAGCCGCGTGGGTTGGACAACGTGGCCTTAATCGCCCTCCGCATATTTTCCAATTCGGTCTCCTGAATAGCTGCCTTCCTAGTAGCCTTCTTAAAGACACGATGCTTGGCCTTCCAGGTAGCCCTATGAATGTCCGGCAGCTTGCCCGAGACGGGGTCTCTGGCTCCTTACGGAAACTCATCATATCATTCCGCACAGCGGCACAGTCCTCGTTCCACCAGTCACGCTTCACAAAATTCACCTTTCCCCATGCGACGCCGAACATCTCCCTAGCACACGTCCCGATTAGGGTGCGCAAGTCATTCATGCTTTCATCACAAGAGGCCCCTTCTCCTTGAGTTATCCTGTCCTCCCCACCTTACACACACACAGACACACGCACGCACACACAAGCACCCTCTCTCTTCCCAACGCATCCACCCACCTTGTTCACAGCCACCCTTCGCCCCTTCTCCCCCCCAAGCACACACACACACACACAGGTACATGAGCGTCTACTCATGTACCTGTAACACGGCTCGTTCCACAGGCTGCCGTACCCCCATGATGCGGCAGTGCAGAGCGTCGCAAACTTGGTTGGTTTACATCGCAGTGAACCGGATGCGGAGACAGTAGAGCTCTTTGGCCGGTAGAGCTCTTTGGTCAACCGTAATCTATGGAAGTTGCCATCATAGCGTAACTGCGCGACAAAGCATACGTTTTTCAATTATGCTTTGCACCATCAACATTGCTGACACGAAGAGGGAAGGTCTTTGGCCCAAACAACAAATCTTTCCTGAGAATGAATTCACACAGCGAAAGTGCTCGAATGATTGAGGAGGGATCGTGGCCAGCTCTGCAATGTGAAATTTGAAGCCGAGAGCGTCTCGGTGCGTGCGAGCACCGTTGTTTCACGTGAAGTAAAGTTGTGTTTCAGCTATTTTCGGTATTATCTGTTGCTTCTGTTAACTGAAATTTTGTTACCCGTTTGAGAATTATTTTGGTAACTGGGTTGTAGCCGTATGTCCATGTCACGGAACCAAGGGTCATTTGCATTTCACTCCACAGACTCCAGACAGCGTTTACAAACCTACCTAACCAACACTTGGAGCTCTAAATATCTCATCGCATCTCTTCCTTTCGCTTTCATGCTTTATGCGTGCGTCCAGTTACACGCGGCCGGCGGCGTTTGTGAAGTAGTAGGCTGCTGCATGCTGAACCACCGAACAGCCAGCAGCGCTTCCAACACGTTGCCTGGCCCTCCGCTTTCCGGACACCATCACACAGAATACCATATTACC